AAAGTTTGCCACTCTATTTGGCAGTGCAGAAAGTTCAATGAAAGTGCTAGGCAACATTTCTGAGTGTCAGCTATTACTCATTCTCAGTTTAAAAATTAGGGAATTTTTGATGTAATCATTATATACACACACACACACACACACACACACACACACACACATAACTTTTTATTTTTACAGTCCATAGTTGAAAACCCAGTGATAGGTTGGGAAGATTCAGTCACTTTAAGGATGCTAAGAGTTATGCTGGTGGGAACTGGAACTCCTGGGAAGGTCATCCTTGCAGGGAAGATGGAAAGGGGAGGAATTATGCTAAGGGCAATTCACAAAGTACATGTAGGAGAAGGAGCACCTAGGAAATGGCAATGACAAAAATTGTCTGTATGATTGAAACAAAGTTTTAAGGACATGACAATAACATTTAGATGAGTTTGAGCAGTTGATGATACCTGCAGGACAGAAGCCACTCATCTACTTACTGGGGAAGACTATCGAACTTTTAAAAGTAGATCTTGAGATAATGACAGGGCCAGACAAAAGCTACAAGAAAGTCTGGTCACTGATGGTGCTAGTATTGTAAAAGGAGTTTCTCATTTTACAAGGACACATGCAACTGGAACATGGAAGGTGAAAAGCATGAACCCAAACTGTCTAGGCACTGGATAAGGAACCACGACAGTTTGTAGTCTCAATACCACTGGAGGGTGCCAGATTGGAAAAAGATGAATTAATACAATCCAGCTTATATACAACTTAATTAAGTAAAAGCCAAATAACAATTTCTCTTGAACAGAACGGTGGATACACAACTCTTCCACCAATTTACAGAGATTTCAGCATGAGACATTTTTGGAAGTCCAATGCCCTGAGGCCCTAGCAGGGCTTAAGTTTAGTCATCTAGGCATTCACCAATAGCCCATAAGGAGAGGAAGGGGTGAATGGGTGCACTTTGACTGATCTGAAAAACATGCAAGTTGGATTCTTGTTCCATGAGAGCTCAGCACTTTACAATCTGACATAAGGCTACATCACTAGGCATCAGCAATCTTACGTATCCTAGACATTCACACCTGTCAGCAACTCTGCACCTGTTGTCTGCTTAGGCAAAGACCAAATGACAGCAGCCAATTGTAGCAGCTCCTGCTGCAACATGGCCATACATGGCTTTTCTCAATCATGTTTCTGTGGAGTAAGGCTGCTAATCTCTGTGGATTTCAGCAGTCTGCTTTTTGTCCTTGTAATGGTGTCACAGTTTTCAGTTCTTCACTGAGTTAAGCATTAAGAATGACACATTCATGTTTCTTATACAAGCTCCCTTCCCACAATAGCTCGCAAATGGATTTTAAATTTGTTTATATACAAGTCCAGATTACTCCCTCAGTGCCATTTTTAAAAATGTCATTTTCATTTGAAGAAGAAAATCCCTTTGCTTTATAGCAGCTCATCAACTCAACTTTCTATAGGGAGGCACTCTGGGCAAAGTCACAGAAATGTAATCATTTTGAGTATTATAGTAAAACAAGGATTTATTGATATTCGTCTAATATTTTAAGATTGAATCCAAATAGTTTCTTCTAGATGAGTAAGGCTTCTCCATTCATATGTTAGTTTACATATACCCCATTACTTGGGTAAAGTTAAATTCCTACATGTTCTGTTTTTGCCACCTTTTACATAGGGTGAAGTAGGCTACAGAACGAATCTATTACATTACTGTACAAGTGCCTGGGCTAAAAACATTTTTTCCTCTATCCACTTCTGTTGGATCCAGGTTTTGTGCTTTCTTTACAAGAACAATATCACCAAGTGAAACATTTTTTTCTAAGTTTTATTATTTGAGCAGATCATTTCCTGATATTAGTAAAACAATTTCACGAATGCAATTATCTAATATCTTCTCCCCCCACCCATTCCATGCTCATCTGAAGGATTTTTTAAAAACAAAACAAAACATTTCAGGTATTATTTAGCATTTACTTATTTAATATTAGTAATATTCGGATGAAAGCATAAACAATCTAACATGAATTTGCATCAGGTGATATGAAAGTCGTATCTTCAATGACTAATCTATGATTTCTCACAGATATATGCCCAAGGCCTTAGTCAGAAACAGACAAATGCCTTCACTTGCCACTTCTGAAGTTATACAAACCCCTAAGTGACTTAGCATCGCTGTCTCTGTCTTTGAGGGAGGAGGAAAGATCAGATAGGATAAAATATCAGAAAAGGAAAATAGAGGACATCTGGACAGCTGACAAAGCTGAATTTAAGATTTAGGGGACATACCTGCATGACTGCCTGATATGAATTCTCCTGCATCAACTTCCAATTTTTTCAACTATGCTACCCCCATCCTATGTTAATATTGTTTCCTTCAAAGCTCAACTAAATGGCTGTATTCTGTTTAGCAGCTTGAGGAAATCTTTATTAATGTCAGACTGATGTCAAACTGATGTTGTGTGTGTCAGTGTTGCTGTTACAACTAAGATATCCTTGCTCCCAAACCCAGGGTTAATCCTGGCCAAAGCAGTGATTAATAATTTTCATTTAGCATCTATTTTAGCTTATTTATTTATTTTTAAAGCATAAATATAATGTAATCTAAGCAATGTATATAAAGACTGAAAATAGAACTTGAACATTTTTTTTAATTTTAAAAATATGCTTGCAATATCAGGAAAGCAAAATGGTACGTGCTGGGACTAACTGCTGTTGGAAAAAGAAAACTGCCAGGGATAAGTGAAGCTCAGTACAATAAATAGTGGGGTTTTTTTGTTTTTTTTTAAGATCACAGAGAATTCAAATCTTACAGCACTTGAAGTAAGGGCCAAATACTCCAAGTGAAAATATGTATACAATAAATATATGGTGAATCCATTTTTGATTTACTAAGAATACAAAAGGAGACCTAAAGGCCTTTTAATCCAGCATTTGTTTCCACTGTGTATAAATGGGACCTAAACCATTATGTCAGTTCCAGTGGTGTTACTCTTCTGGTTAGAATATTTATTTCAGCTATGCATGTTTTACAAGCTGTAAACAACTGACTTTTTCCCAAAGTCAACATATCAATTTTCTACATATATATCTACATGATGACAGATCCATGTAAAGTGCTCTGACTTTCAAGACATTTTCTAAGAAGATATTCCATGAGATACATGCACACAGGGAAAATTAGATTGCCCAGTGAAGGCCAGACCAAATCTGATGAGACCACTATTGATTAAGGT